CTCTCCCTCCCTGCTGTCCTGCCTCTCTCCCTCCCTGCTGTCCTGCCTCTCTCCCTCCCTGCTGTCCTGCCTCTCTCCCTCCCTGCTGTCCTGCCTCTCTCCCTCCCTGCTGTCCTGCCTCTCTCCCTCCCTGCTGTCCTGCCTCTCTCCCTCCCTGCTGTCCTGCCTCTCTCCCTCCCTGCTGTCTTGCCTCTCTCCCTCCCTACTGTCCTGCCTCTCTCCCTCCCTGCTGTCCTGCCTCTCTCCCTCCCTGCTGTCCTGCCTCACTCCCTCCCTGCCGTCCTGCCTCTCTCCCTCCCTGCCGTCCTGCATCTCTCCCTCCCTGCTGTCCTGCCTCTCTCCCTCCCTGCTGTCCTGCCTCTCTCCCTCCCTGCTGTCCTGCCTCTCTCCCTCCCTGCTGTCCTGCCTCTCTCCCTCCCTGCTGTCCTGCCTCTCTCCCTCCCTGCTGTCTTGCCTCTCTCCCTCCCTACTGTCCTGCCTCTCTCCCTCCCTGCTTTCCTGCCTCTCTCCCTCCCTGCTCTCCTGCCTCTCTCCCTCCCTGCTCTCCTGCCTCTCTCCCTCCCTGCTGTGGGACAGGGGGGGTAACAAGAAGGGGGAGCATAGGGGAGGTGAGGGACAGGGGGGAGGAAAGGAAGGGGGAGCATAGGGGAGGTGTAGGGAGGGGGATCACATGGCAGACGGAGTGGAGAGCATCTCAGATTATGGGCGGGATATCGAATGAGAGGGGAGCATGGAAAAACAGGGGGGAGCTAGGCAGATGGGGGGGGAGGGGGGGGGGAGATGAAGGGGGAGCATGGCAGATCAGGGGGGAAGTTAGGCAGAATAAGGGATGGGAGTAGGGGGGATAAGGGATGAGAGTAGGGGGAGGGAATAAAGATATGGAGTGGGGGGAGATAAGGGAACGGAGTGGGGGGAATCAGGGAAGGTAGTGGGGGGAATATGGGATGGGGGAATAAGGGTAGGGAGTTGTGGGAACAAGGGAATGGTATGGGGGGGATATGAGAGACGGAGCACTCTTCGTGGCTTTGGCACCCATGGGTCCGCCCCATCTCAGCCTCTATCCTTCCTTCCGCACCTCTCTCCTTCCTTCCGCACCTCTCTCCTTCCTTCCGCACCTCTCTCCTTCCTTCCGCACCTCTCTCCTTCCTTCCGCACCTCTCTCCTTCCTTCCGCACCTCTCTCCTTCCTTCCGCACCTCTCTCTTTCCTTCCGCACCTCTCTCCTTCCTTCCGCACCTCTCTCCTTCCTTCCGCACCTCTCTCCTTCCTTCCGCACCTCTCTCCTTCCTTCCGCACCTCTCTCCTTCCTTCCGCACCTCTCTCCTTCCTTCCGCACCTCTCTCCTTACTTCTGCACCTCTCTCCTTCTTTCCGCACCTCTCTGCTTCCTTCCGCACCTCTCTCCTTCCTTCCGCACCTCTCTCCTTCCTTCCGCACCTCTCTCCTTCCTTCCGCACCTCTCTCTTTCCTTCCGCACCTCTCTCCTTCCTTCTGCACCTCTCTCCTTCCTTCCGCACCTCTCTCCTTCCTTCCGCACCTCTCTCCTTCCTTCCGCACCTCTCTCCTTCCTTCCGCACCTCTCTCCTTCCTTCCGCACCTCTCTCCTTCCTTCCGCACCTCTCTCCTTCCTTCCGCACCTCTCTCCTTCCTTCCGCACCTCTCTCCTTCCTTCCGCACCTCTCTCCTTCCTTCCGCACCTCTCTCCTTCCTTCCGTACCTCTCTCCTTCCTTCCGCACCTCTCTCCTTCCTTCCGCACCCCTCTCCTTCCTTCCGAACCTCTATCCTTCCTTCCACACCTCTCTCCTTCCTTCCACACCTCTCTCCTTTCTTCCGCACCTCTCTCCTTCCTTCCGCACCTCTCTCCTTCTTTCCGCACCTCTCTCCTTCCTTCCGCATCTCTCTCCTTCCTTCCGCACCTCTCTCTTTCCTTCCGCACCTCTCTCCTTCCTTCTGCACCCCTCTCATTCCTTCCGCACCTCTCTCCTTCCTTCCGCACCCCTCTCCTTCCTTCCGAACCGCTATCCTTCCTTCCGCACCCCTCTCCTTCCTTCCGAACCGCTATCCTTCCTTCCGAACCTCTCTCCTTCCTTCCGCACCTCTCTCCTTCCTTCCGCACCTCTCTCCTTCCTTTCGCACCTCTCTCCTTCCTTCCGCACCTCTCTCCTTCCTTCTGCACCTCTCTCCTTCCTTCCGCACCTCTCTCCTTCCTTCCGCACCTCTCTCCTTCCTTCCCCACCTCTCTCCTTCCTTCCGCACCCCTCTTCTTCCTTCCGCACCTCTCTCCTTCCTTCCGCACCTCTCTCCTTCCTTCCGCACCCCTCTCCTTCCTTCCGAACCTCTATCATTCCTTCCGCACCTCTCACCTTCCTTCCACACCTCTCTCCTTTCTTCCGCATCTCTCTCCTTCCTTCCGCACCTCTCTTCTTCCTTCCGCACCTCTCTCCTTCCTTCCGCATCTCTCTCCTTCCTTCCGCACCTCTCTCTTTCCTTCCGCACCTCTCTCCTTCCTTCTGCACCCCTCTCATTCCTTCCGCACCTCTCTCCTTCCTTCCGCACCCCTCTCCTTCCTTCCGAACCGCTATCCTTCCTTCCGCACCCCTCTCCTTCCTTCCGAACCGCTATCCTTCCTTCCGCACCTCTCTCCTTCCTTCCGCACCTCTCTCCTTCCTTCCGCACCTCTCTCCTTCCTTCCGAACCTCTCTCCTTCCTTCTGTACCTCTCTCCTTCCTTCCGCACCCCTCTCCTTCCTTCCGAACCTCTATCCTTCCTTCCGCACCTCTCTCCTTCCTTCCGCACCTCTCTCCTTCCCTTCGCACCTCTCTCCTTCCTTCCGCACCTCTCTCATTCCTTCTGCACCTCTCTCCTTCCTTCCGCACCTCTCTCCTTCCTTCCGCACCTCTCTCCTTCCTTCCCCACCTCTCTCCTTCCTTCCGCACCCCTCTTCTTCCTTCCGCACCTCTCTCCTTCCTTCTGCACCCCTCTCCTTCCTTCTGCACCCCTCTCATTCCATCCGCACCTCTCTCATTCCTTCCACACCCCTCTCTTTCCTTACGAACCTCTATCCTTCCTTCCGAACCTCTATCATTCCTTCCGCACCTCTCTCCTTCCTTCCGAACCTCTATCCTTCCTTCTGCACCTCTCTCCTTCCTTCCGCACCTCTCTCCTTCCTTCCGCACCTCTCCTCTTCCCTTCCACATTCCGCTAGATCTTTTAGGTGGGTACATGCAGGGGCACAGGAACACGTTTCTCTCTCTCCTACCCGCAACTCTCGAACCCCTAGTCTCTGGCTTCGGTTTGCGTCTTTCGCGCCGTGCAAAATCGACTCACTGTGGTACTAGTAACTTGCGACGCTAAGCGCGAATGGATGTAGAGCTGGGAAGATTCAGGCACTCATATACCGTGTGGAAAGCAACACATATCTATGCGGAGTTGAGTGCATTTTTTTCAGCAGCGCTTCTGCCGTTGTTCGCGTCTGTTATTTGGTTTCATTGCCCCTAGCGCGTTTGCCGCTGGGCACAATCTGGTGCTTGCCTGGTGGTTTTGTGTGTGACGCGATTTTGTGACACGTTTTTGCTTGCAAGGAGGTCACAGGTTTGGCGAAGGTTTTTCTGTTTGCGAAGGGGTAGGTCGGTTTGGCCTTGTTTCGCAATTCCAATTTTGAATATCTGGTTCCTCGTCATTTTCGCAGCCAATCGCAAACCTTTCGCCCTCTCCCGAGCCGCACACTGCAAATCTGCTTTTCGCGGCTTGCAACTTGGGATCTGGGCTTTAAGATTAACAAAAATACTAGCAGTTCTGTCGCCAGCCATTGTCTTGACATTACGCCACGTAAAGAACGAATGTTCTAATGTGGAAGGTTCAAGAGGTTTTAGGTTGGTTAATCTTAAGACACGTCATCTCAAGCCGAAGAGTTTGACTACCGATTGGCGACAGCTCATCAGTTTCGAAACAGACTCCGTTTCAGCTGCGAAAGTCTTACAGCCCTAGCGATGGGGCAGGTTACCCGACAATATGGCAGAACAGACGCGCCACTCCAGCCTTATTTATTTGCAAAACTGCGGCCGTTGCCGCCCGAGAAGTGTACAAGCACATTTTGCCCGGCGTTTTGGCCAGAGGATACATGCACGAACCGCGCAAAACTCTCGAGTTTCTGAATCCAGGAACATGTGTATTGCACAGACCGAGCCTTCTGCCCGTGCCAGCTTGCACAAGACAAGACGGTTTGTTTTTCGATCGATTGGTCGGACACATATGGCCAAATCGCCTGGAACAAGCGGGCTTGTCCTTAGTGCGCGCTGGGGGTGAGCATGTGGACAAACAGTGGGTGGATGCAACGGTGCCCTCGCTGCAATGTGTTGCGGTGGATGATGAGATGATGGTCCTCTCTGCTGCAACTCCCTGCAATCGATTTGGCTCAGCTTGGTGGGGGAAGGGGGGGGGGGGGGGGGGGGGAGGGGGGGGGGAATCTGACCGACCCCTCCCCGAATCAATCACCCCCCTCCGAAACGGTCCCAAAAGCATATGCGCAACAGGTGGAGGTGCAGCAGATGGCTGATGGGGCTTTTTAGATGCACGAACACCCGACGGGCCACTCCAGAGGTGAAAAATATTATTGTGTAGGTTCGCGGGTATCGTAATCTACCAGCCACCCGGTGTGGTACGGACCAAAAGTGTAGTTTGACCAGCTGGTGCGAAACAGCATGTCCACACCACATCGTCACAACACTGCGGAATCCGCTTTGTGGCTCAGTAGGACAGGACACTCGCGGCAACAGGTTCAAGGGCGCCTATTATTCAGGGGAACCAACAATCGTGGACAGCGGTAGCGGGGTGGAGGTCGCAGCTTCAGCCAGCAAGCAGTTGTACCTGACGGGATTGCAAAAGCACCGCCTTGCTGAGCTGCGGTGGAGCAATGTCTGCTGCAAAGCTGCGCAGGCGAGGCAGAATGGAGGGTTTCAGTGTAAGAGCCATCAAAACAGTAGCTTTTTCTAGCTTCTCCGTACAAGGCAGTGACACAGATGCGCGTGGAAGATAAGCCTTCTTTTCCACAAAGCGTTTGCTCAGATTGACTTCACGCCGCGGAAGAAAAGTGTATGAACGAACCGTTCGTGTGCTAGTAGTACTCACTGAGAACTTGTTCGCTTAGGCTACAGGCGCCAACTTTGCGAGTTTTCAGTACATGGCGGGCCTCCCGCCATCTGCGGGCGACGGCGACGCGGCACCGCCGCTGCGCGCGCAGATCGCGTTGAACATGGACGCCATGGTGGCGCAGCTGCGCGACGACGCCGCCCTCGCGCGCCTCCCCGACGCCGCGCTGCTCCAACAGTCCGCCGCCGCCGCGCGCTTCACGGAAATCATGGCCGCCGCCTCGCTGGGCGCGCGTGGTGCGACAGGCGCCCACTCGCAAGCGCGGGAGCAGGGAAGGCCGCAGGTGGATCTAGGCGATGCAGGCAGCAACGAGAGCGCTGTCCGGCGGTCGACCGCGGCCGCGACGGGTGTGATTGCAAGCACTGCAGGCTCTGAGCGCCGTATAGGCACAGAAAGCATCATGTCGATGATGGAGACCCGATGCATGACCATGGGCGAGATCGGCCGAGGCATTGAAATGGGCGCGAATGAGAGACGAGGGCCCACGATGGACGCGGCGAGTTGCCCCAATGTGAGAGGTAACGGCAATGAGCGACGCAACCAATTGCTCCTGCTGCAGATGCACTTGTGGCAGCAACGACAGCGCCAGCAGCAGCAGCAGCAGCAGCAGCAGCAGCAGCAAGAGCAAGCACAGGAACAGGAAAGGGCCATGGAGCAACAGCTACTGGCATTGCAGCAACAGCAGTGGCAGCAGCCCCTGCCGTGGCAGCAGCAGCAGCAGCTACTTTTGCAGCACGAATTGGCTCAGCAGCAGGGCCTGGTGTTGCAACACATGGCCGCCAGACACCTGACCGCGGGGCATCCGGTGCCAGCAGGGCATCAGGTGACAGCAGGGCATCCGGTGCCAGCAGGGCATCAGGTGACAGCAGGGCATCAGGTGCGCAGTGAGGTATCGCATGCCGCCTTGCCTGACCTGCAGTACCACGACGTTGCCGAGCCTCACCACTCCCACTCACCGCACCAGTACCAGCAGCAGCAGCAGCAGCAGCAGCAGCAACAGCAACAGCAACAGCAGCAACAGCGGCAGCAGCAACAGCAACAGCAGCAACAGCGGCAGCAGCAGCAGGCGCAGCTAGCCGCGTTGGAGCAGCAGCTGACGGCCAGCCTGGCGCGGCGAGATGCGGCTTTGGCGGAGGCTGGGGGGAATGAAGAGGCCCGCGCGCTGGAAGAGGAGGGGGAGGGCGAGGGGGAGGAGGGGGGAGTCAGGGAAGGTGATGAGGACAGGGGGGATGGGGAGGGGGGAATGGGGGAAGAAGGAGAGGAAGAGGGGGGGGGGGGGAATGCGCGGCAGAGGATGCGGAGGCGAGTGCAGGTGGAGCGAGTGCGGCGGCAGCGAGTCAGGTGATTCTGCCCTTTGAGCTGCTGCTCCTTGCGCTCTTAACCGCCTCACCGACAGGGCCATGTGGGAGGCCGTCCTTCCCTGCACATGGCACCTCTAGTGTTCACCTAGGAATATAGGTGCACACCAACCCAACCCTTGACCCCAAGTGTTGGAGGGTGCCAACCATTATTGGCTTCCTCAAAAATGGCCAGCCCAAGCACTTTAGTCCCACCAATACGGCTGGTGAAGCCCACCCACCTTGCACCTTGCACCTTGAACCTTGCACCTTGCACCTTGCACCTTGCACCTTGCACCTTGCACCTTGCACCTTGCACCTTGCACCTTGCACCTTGCACCTTGCCCCTTGCCCCTTGCCCCTTGCACCTTGCACCTTGCACCTTGCACCTTGCACCTTGCACCTTGCACCTTGCACCTTGCCCCTTGCAACTTGCAACTTGCAACTTGCAACTTGCACCTTGCACCTTGCACCTTGCACCTTGCCCCTTGCCCCTTGCCCCTTGCACCTTGCACCTTGCACCTTGCACCTTGCACCTTGCACCTTGCACCTTGCCCCTTGCAACTTGCAACTTGCACCTTGCACCTTGCACCTTGCACCTTGCACCGCACCACGTAAGCCCCATCTGCTCGCTTGAGCTCATCTGGCCTTGTCGTCGTCAAATTTCTTCGCTCCACCAGGATTGTTTCATCCTTTGCTGTCCTTTACTCTCCCTGTGCCTCACCCTCTCTCCCTCCCTAAAACCCTCCTATCCTCCTCACGCTCTTCTCACTCCCTTTCTCCCATCCCGGCCTCCCTTGTGCCTTTCGCCTGTCCCCCTGTCGCCTCTTTCCACGCCCGCTTCATGTGACCTCGTCGCCTATTGCTCCTCGCCTTGCACTCCGCACCCCGCCATTCCCCGCCATGCGCCGCCATGCCCCACTGTGGCACGGGGGCAGGGAGGGGCTGCAGCAGCTGCAGCAGAGCATACCGTACGCGGCGGGCAACGAGGAGACCGCCTCCATGCTCGAAAACGTCGTCTCCTACATCCGCCAGCTGCAGGTGGGTGTTCACAGCTGCCGGTGAGACGTGTGCTTTCCCGGCCAGTGCGCTGCTCTCTCACACTTGTCACATTCCTTCAACTTCACCTCACTTGTGTTTCTGCACTCTCCCCGCTTTCTACTGCCTGTGTGCCGCCCATCTGCCCCCCTCCCTCCCCCAACAGGACGACTGCAGTGGGCTCGAGCACATGCTCGTCTCCACCTCCCCCTCCTCCTCCACCCCAGCCGCTGCTGCTGCCGCTGCTGCCGCTGCTGCGTCCCTTCCAGTAGCCACCAGCAACGTCAGTGCGCTGCTGCCACCGTCCCATTTCCCGCCCTTCATGGTACCGCGGCAGTCACCACCACCGCCACCACCCTGACAGGCCGCTGCACGTCCACCAGAGTTAGCACTCAGCAAGTCGCCTCGTCCTTGCCGCCTGCAGGCTTGTCGTGTGGGTGCATGTGCAACGGGCATGGGCGTGCATGAACAAGGCATGCCACCATGCCACCATGTCTTGTCGCTTTCTGCACTCTTGTCTTGAGCCATCGTGCTTCTCGGTAGCAATGCCAGTGTGTGCCCGTGTCTCTTCATATCTGCAATGCATCTGCACTTCAAATCAAAAGGGGGCAGGAGGGGGAAGGGGAGGAGAGGGAAAGGGTGGGACAGCTGTGTGTGCTGCCCTGTGCTGCTCTGCTGTGTGTGCTTCCCTGTGCTGCTCTGCTGTGTGTGCTTCCCTGTGCTGCTCTGCTGTGTGTGCTGCCATGTGCTGCTCTGCTGCGTGTGCTGCCGTTTGCTGCTCTGCTGCGTGTGCTGCCCTGTGCTGCTCTGCTGTATCTGCTGCCCTGTGCTGCTCTGCTGCTCTGCTGCCCTGTGCTGCTCTGCTGTGTGTGCTGCCATGTGCTGCTCTGCTGCGTGTGCTGCCCTGTGCTCCTCTGCTGTGTGTGCTGCCCTGTGCTGCTCTGCTGCGTGTGCTGCCCTGTGCTGCTCTGCTGTGTATGCTGCCCTGTGCTGCTCTGCTGTGTGTGCTGCCCTGTGCTGCTCTGCTGTGTGTGCTGCCATGTGCTGCTCTGCTGTGTGTGCTGCCATTTGCTGCTCTGCTGCGTGTGCTGCCCTGTGCTGTGTGTGCTGCCCTGTGCTTCTCTGCTATGTGTGCTGCCCTGTGCTGCTCTGCTGTGTGTGCTTCCCTGCGTTGCTCTGCTGTGTGTGCTGCCCTGTGCTGCTCTGCTGTGTGTGCTGCCATGTGCTGCTCTGCTGTGTGTGCTGCCCTGTGCTGCTCTGCTGTGTCTGCTACCCTGTGCTGCTCTGCTGCTCTGCTGCCCTGTGCTGCTCTGCTGTGTGTGCTGCCATGTGCTGCTCTGCTGCGTGTGCTGCCCTGTGCTGCTCTGCTGTGTGTGCTGCCATGTGCTGCTCTGCTGCGTGTGCTGCCCTGTGCTGCTCTGCTGTGTGTGCTGCCCTGTGCTGCTCGGCTGTGTGTGCTGCCCTTTGCTCCTCTGCTGCGTGTGCTGCCCTGTGCTGCTCTGCTGTGTCTGCTACCCTGTGCTGCTCTGCTGCTCTGCTGCCCTGTGCTGCTCTGCTGTGTGTGCTGCCATGTGCTGCTCTGCTGCGTGTGCTGCCCTGTGCTGCTCTGCTGTGTGTGCTGCCATGTGCTGCTCTGCTGCGTGTGCTGCCCTGTGCTGCTCTGCTGTGTGTGCTGCCCTGTGCTGCTCGGCTGTGTGTGCTGCCCTTTGCTCCTCTGCTGTGTGTGCTGCCCTGTGCTGCTCTGCTGTGTGTGCTGCCCTGTGCTGCTCTGCTGTGTGTGCTGCCCTGTGCTGCTCTGCTGTGTGTGCTGCCCTGTGCTGCTCGGCTGTGTGTGCTGCCCTTTGCTCCTCTGCTGTGTGTTCTGCCCTGTGTTGCTCTGCTGTGTGTGCTGCCCTGTGCTGCTCTGCTGTGTGTGCTGCCCTGTGCTGCTCTGCTGTGTGTGCTGCCCTGTGCTGCTCGGCTGTGTGTGCTGCCCTTTGCTCCTCTGCTGTCTGTGCTGCTCTGCTGTGTGTGCTGCCCTGTGCTGCTCTGCTGTGTGTGCTGCCCTGTGCTGCTCTGCTGTGTGTGCTGCCCTGTGCTGCTCTGCTGTGTGTGCTGCCCTGTGCAACTCTGCCGTGTGTGCTGCCATGGTGCAATTTGTGCGTTGGGTTCCAATGCGAGGACCACTTGTTTGCACACACCCAGTGCAGCCGCGCGCGTGCCCCTGACACCTGCACATGCGGGCGGCACACGGCGTTCTGGCCACCAATCGCCAGCACCAGTCACTTGCCTGCATGGTGTGAGGTGCTTCGCACTAGCTGCCTCTTGCAGGAACTCTGTGAACAGTACCGCGTCTCAAAGCACCTCTGCAAACCACCTCTGCAATCACTGCTCGTCATTCAATAATTGCTGCCAGTACACCTCATACGCTGTTGGCCTGTTGACCAGTCTCTCTGATAACACGTGGTTACCACTGTGCCTTCGTGCGCCTACAACGCTCCCCTTCCCTGGCACTGGCACCAGGCCATCCACAGCATACATCACAGAAAGGACAAATGATGCCGACCCCAGCAGCATGGCCTGGAGCCTATCGGGGTCTCCTTTGAATGCAAGGAGTGCAGCGAGGGCGGTGAGCGCCGCGCACACGCTCACGCGCACCACACCCACTGCGGCGCGCACCAGCCGCCCATCTGACACCAGCGCAGGGGCCGAGGGGGGCAGCAGGGATGGATGGGATGAGGTTGAGTGCGGTGCTGCATGGTGGTGGTTGGTGTGGTGGGTGGGGCGGTGGCGGTAGAGAAAGAGGAAGTTGTACTTGTCGACGAGGAGGCGGTAGGAGAAGAAGAGCAGCCCCGCGGGCAGCACGAGGGGCGCCAGGGGTGCGTGCACCAGCACCACGCACAGCGCCGTGGTGTTGTACGCGTAGTACTGCGCAAAATCAAAGCGCAGGGGGGGGCGGTGCTTCCTGGGCGGATCCTGGGGCTCTGGCCCCGCTGCTGATGTGTCTGGTCTGGAAGAAAAGGACGCTGCTGCTTGCCCTGCTGCTGCTGCTTGCCCTGCTGCTGCTGCTTGCCCTGCTGCGGCTGCTTGCCCTGCTGCTGTTGCTGCTGCTGCTGCTGCTGGTGAAAGTGAAGGTTGTGGTGCTGTTGAAGTGGCCACTGGTAGGGATGCAGCTGGGGCTGGGGGGTAGATGTAGAGGGGCACAGTGGGCGGTGGGTGGCTGGACTGTGGCGCTATGGGCGTCTGTGTGGTGGAAAGAGAGGGAGGCGAGAGGGGAGTAGTGAGAGTGGACGGGGAGAGGAGGTGAGAGTGTGTGGCTGTCTCTGCACCTGCCTCTTCCAGCAGAGAGAGCAATCCCAGGTCACTCTCACTGCTGCTCTCACTTCCCCCCTCACTCCCTCCCTCCTCATCATCACTCGCCCCATGGGCACCTTCAGCCATGTCAGCCAACGGCCGTCCTCCACGTGTCTCAGCATCGCCATTCACGCATATACCCTCAACAGCATCCCCTGGCAAAGTCACATAAGCACCGCTCTGCACCGCTCCTTCTCCCTCGTGCATCCTTCCGCCCACCACGGTTCTCAGCCATGCTCCCACAGCCTTGAAGGCAGTGACCGCACTGGCCAGGGTCCCCCCCTCTCCGCCCTGCACACCCCTGCTCTGCGCCTGCCACTCCCCCCCTCCCCGCCCCCACCCTACCCAGCGCAGGCAGCGGCGCGTGGCGAGGTGCAGGCGTGGGGCGAGCCATGCGAGGGGCGCGAGTAGGTCGAGGGAGACGCCGAGCAGAGCGGAGGTGAGGAGGAAGGAGAGGGCGGAGAGGGAGGAGGCGGCGATGAGCGAGGTGTTGAGCCACTGCAGCAGCGACGGGCAGTGCGCCGGCGCCACGTAGCAGTGCGCCGAGTGCAGGATGGCCGACTGTAGCGCCGCCTCCAGCAGCGCCTGGGGGGGGAGAGGGGGGAGGGGCGGAGCAACAACAAGTATGGGCGTGCATGGCCTTGCTGCGGCGTGCTAGGACCGACCTTGAACACGTCCCTCCTCCCGCCCATGTGACCCCATTGACTGTCACCCCCTCACCCCCGCAAAAGTTCCTCGTGTGTTAACAACCAGAGCAACACTTGTGAGCACATGAAAAGTACCCTGGCCGATTTGGGGTACAGTGAGCAAAAGAAAGGGGAGCGGATGGTTGACCACCTGTGCCTCCTGGGCACCCCTCGGAGGCACGGCAAGGCGGGGCGCGCACCTTGAGCACGTAGAGGTTGAAGAGGTAGAGCGTGGTGAGCTTGAGGAAGAGCGCCGCCTGCTGTCGCGACGTCGTGATGTGCCCCTCAAACAGCGCAAGGCGGTGCAGCGCAGCGGGCATGAGGACGTACATGGCGAGGAAGGAGAGCAGGTTGGGCGCGAACTGCAGCACCACGGCTGCCACGCCGCTGTTGCTCTGGGAAACAGAAAATAGCTGGAGGAGGGAATAAGCCAAATGCACCGACCCCCCTGGGCATGCAGCCAACCCCCATGCGCATGATAGTCCGCTCTCACCTGCATCCTTGCCACTCCCACGTCCCCCCTCTCCGCCCAGCTCTTTCCCCACTCTTCACTCCGCATTCCCATCCCTCCCCGCCCCTCGCATGGCATCAGCCCTCCTTCCCCCCACTCACGCGCGCCCATGAGAGCCAGGCGTTGAGGTGGGCGACAGCAGCAGGGTCCACGCTGTGAGCGGCGTACGACACAGCGGTCAGCAGCGCCAGCGGGCACGACCACACGCACAGCGCCGCCACCACACACACATTCACCACCCATGTGCGCACATGCCTTGCCGCCCGGCTGCCGCCCACGTTCTGCCAGATGATGCTGGCGGCAGGCGGCGCGCGCTCCACCCGCCACGAGGCCGTGGCGAGGGGCGCCAGGCGCCACCGGGGGGTCACCCACAGCCGGTCCCTTAAAGCCCGGGTCGCCGTGAACGCGTCCCGGAACACCACCAGCGCCACCCCCGCCCCTCTCCCCCTGCCCCTCCGCGCCTGCTGCACCTCCCCCTCCGCCCTCCGCACCTCCTCTTCCAGCCTCCGCGCCTCCCCCTCCCAGTCTCGCGCCCCCACCCGCCACAGCCAGGCAGCGGACATGGGTGCAAGGAGGGAGGCGAGGGAGGTGCGGAGGGAGGCGAGAAGCGGGGAGAGAGAGAGGGAGAGCGAGTGAAGGGCGGTGAGCGGCAGCAGGCAGAGGCAGTGCACGGCGGAATGGGCTGCTTGGGGCGGCAGGAAGAGACGGCAGCATGCGAGAAGAGACGAAGCCACACCATCACCACCAGTCACACCCGTACCCCTGCCCATACCCCCTCTGTCTGCCTCCTCCTCCTCCTCCTCCTCCTCCTCCTCCTCCTCCTCCTCGCCTACTTCCCCCACCATATCTTCTCTCCCACCTCCCATCCCTCCCTCCCCACTCCCATCCAACCTCTGCATGCCAGCTGGCCCCTGCCGGCCACTCCACGAGATGAGTGGCTCGTGCACAGGTGCCACGTCAACAGCTCTGGGCGCAGCAGCATGCGCCTGTGCCTGTCCCCCCCTGCCTCCCCCCAGATCCGCCCCTCCCCCTTGCACCTCCGCCTCGGCCTGCAGTGCGGCTCTGGCCTGCGCGTGTGCCAGGCGCGCTCTGAGGGCGGCCACGCGCTGCAGCGCTGCCAGCGCCGCCGCCATGTCGGGCGGATGCAGCACACGGGCTGTGCGCCCGGGGTACAGACGGTCGAAGTACTCCAGGAGGACCTTTGGAGAGGGGGGGGGGAGTGGAGACGGAGTGCAGGGCGGGCAGGGGACGAGGAGGAATTCGGACAGGAGAAAGTGAAATGGATGTGGCAAGACACTTCGGACCAGTGCTTTGGACCAGTGCTTTGGACCAGTGCTTTGGACCGACAAAGGGAGGTGGAGTGGGTGTGGGAAGAGAGTGAGGAGTGTACCTGAGGGCATGCTGACAAGCCTTTTGGAACCCCACGAATGAGAATGGTGTACTCTGCCACGTCATGAGCCGTCATGTCCACGTCATCATCATCATGATGAGTACCACCATAGGGATCACCATCAGCAGCAGCGCCGTCCCTGGCAACGCTGTGCAGCGCAGCGTAACCTTCACGAGGGCTCTCGCCATCCCCACTGCCCTCAGCCCCCTTACCCCTCACCGCCCATCCCCCCCCCCATCCCCTGCGCCCCCCTCCCTGCTGTGCGCACCCGCCCGGGCGAGCGCTCGCTGGTGGCGGAAGGCGCGGAGGGCGAGGTGCGTGGCGGGCGGCAGCAGCAGCGCGAAGAGCGCGGGCAGCCAGAGCGCGGGCGCGGCGGGGGCGACGTGCGCGATGGTGGTGGCGCCCAGGTCGTCGCACACCCAGGGGTCCCGCCCGCGCACGTTGGCGGGCAGCAGCAGCGCCATGGCGGGCACCAGCAGGCCCGTCAGCAGCGCGCACACGCAGCGCTGGCGGACGCACGGGGGCGAGATGGCGGAGAGGGATGTGGGGGGATACAGGAGGGGAGGGAGACGGGGGTTGGGAGCGCAGGGCAGAACGTACGACACGAGTGGGAGAGCAGGCAGCGGAAGGCGAGGACGCCGAGAGGCACGCAGAGGGCCGCGAGGAGAGGCTCGAGGACAGGCGTGTGCCACCCATGCGGCACGGGGAGGGCGGCGCATCTCACCAGCAGGATGAGGTAGTCGGCGGCGTCCGCGCCGCACAGCAGCGCCATCTGCGCGTCCGTCACGTGCCACACGGCGCGCAGCTTGCGCCACGCGTGCGTGGCGGACGGCAGGCGGTGGTCGGCGCGCAGCTTGACGGCGGCGAAGAGCGCCACGCAGCACGCGCCGCCCGCCGCGCTCACGTTCCACAGGTACTGCAGCCCCCACGCCGCGCCCGCGCCGCCCGCTCCGCCCCATCGCCCCCGCCACACGTGCTGTTGGCGGGCGGCGGTGAGGCGAACGCCATGCGCGGAACGAGAGGCGGAAGGGGAGAGAGGACTACGGGAAGGGACGGTGCGCGCAGCAGCGAGTGGCGCGAGGAGACATCACGCGGAGAGCGCAGGAGATGCTGGACGCGTGTGCGCGGAATGCGCGGAGAGGTGACGGTGGCGTGAAAGTACGACTGCTAACGCGGGCAGGCGAGGAGGCATGGCATGTGGCGTGAGTGGTGATGGCGTGTGGGAGCAGTGGGATCGCCTAGTGCAAGGGGCGCTGGGATTCGAGGAGTTGCACAACGCATGTCAACAGGCTTGGCAATTGATCAGGAAGTGGTGCTGGCGGATGGTGTCAGTCTGCGCGCATGGCGAGGCACAGCAAGCACTGGGAGGCTGGGGGGAAGTGTAGTGTAGACGGTAAATTCGGCTATTCTATCGCGCGCATGCGTGTACAATTATTTGCATGCAATCCCAGTAGCGAAGCCGACTTCTGTCCCCGTTTTGGCAGCTTGTCTCCCTCCCCTTCTCCCCCCATCCCCCCCCACCACTGTTCCCCATCCCAGCATCGCCTGCCCTCAAACAGCACCAAGCCGCGGGCCGAGCGTCGTGTGGGCCCCTGCGCGGATGAATTCCGCCATCCGCCTCTCCCCGCCGTGACCAGCGCAGGCCGCCCGTTCCCCTATCCCGCCGTCCATCCGCATCGCCGCGTCGCCAGCATGCCTCGCCCGCATCATTGTCGCTCCACACTCAGAGCCGCGCGCCAAATCGTCGCAGCAGTCGCTGGCGCGCGTACCGGCATCGCATCAGGCAGCGCGCTCGCGCCCGCGCTGATTGCGCACTCCCCGCCCCCGCCTCCCCCCCTTGCTGCTGCCCCCCCGCATTCCTTCCGCAGCAGCGCGTTTCCCGCGTTCGAGGGGGCAGCAGTAAGGGGTACTGCGCGACATGGCGGCCTTCCCGCGTATGCGGGTGCTTTGCTCTCCGCCGCTGCGGCGGCCGTGGCAGCAGCGGTAGTGGCGGAGAGGAAACCCTGGCGCGCAGTGAGTGCGAGGGGGTAGAGAGGGGATGAATGGGAGAGAAACGCGGGGAGCCGAGATGGGCGAGCGCAAGGGGGAGGAGGTGAGGGAGAAGGAGAGGGGGGCAGCGACAGCGGAGAGGGGGGAAGAGAAAGGGGCGGGGAAGGAGAGGGGGAGAAGGAGCGCGGGGCAGAGAGGGGCGGGTTGGCAGCGGAGGTGCGGGCGGGGCTGGTGGCGGCGGTGGGGGAGGAGGGCGTGGTGGAGGAGTGGGACGAGCGGCACAGCCACGCCAAGCCGTGGAACAGCTACCACCAGGTGGCCAAGCTGCCCGCTGCCGTCGTGTACCCCAGGTAACAGGTGGCGCCCACGCTGCCCATGGCGCTGCCGTGCTGCCCATGTGCTGTCTTGCTGCCCATGTGCTGTCTTGCTGCCCATGTGCTGCTTGCTGCCCATGTGCTGCTCCCATGTGCTGTCGTGCTGCCATGTGCTGTCTTGCTGCCCATGTGCTGTCTTGCTGCCACGCCTGTGCTGCTGGCTGCTGCTCTCATCGCTTGCGCTCAGTCCGTCTTCCCCCCTCATGCCCACTGCAACCCCGCCTCTCATGTGCCATCGCATGGCATGGCATGTCGCACACGGCACGGCGCCAGGAGCAACGGAGCAGGTGGCGGCGGTGGTGCGGGTGTGCGCGCAGCACGGGCGGTGCCGGTGGTGGCGTATGGCGGGGGCACGTCGCTGGAGGGGCCACACCACCACGCCCATGGGGGGGAGTCACCATCAACATGACGCGCATGGCCGTGAGTGCTGCCATCAACATGACGCGCATGGCAGTGAGTGCTGCCATTGCATGTCTCATGTCTCTTGCACCACCTGCTCTCATCACCTCGCCGCTGCCCCCCATGCGGCACGTCATCCCGGCCCCCGTGGCATCCGCCATTCCGCAGGCCCTCTGCCCGAGCGTGTGCTGGTGGTGCATGCGGCGGACATGGATGCGTGGATGCGGTGGTGCAGCCTGGGCCTGTGATGATGACGCTGCTGGCCGCCTTCAACCACCCGCCACCCCTCATCTCTCATCCCCCCGACCCACGTGCCTCCATTCCCTCATGCCGCCATATCCCCCCTGGTCCACGCCAGAGCGTGCTGGCGGTGCACGCGGCGGACCATGGACGCGGTGGTGCAGTCCGGGCATCACGTGGGGCCGCCCTCAACGACCACCTGCGCCCCCCCTCGGCCTCTTCTTCCCTCTCGACCCCGGCCCCGGCGCCACCATCGGCGGCATGGCGGCCACGCGCTGCAGCGGGTCCTTGGCGGTGCGCTACGGCACCATGCGCGACAACGTCATCGCGCTCAAGGTGGCCTTGCAGCTGTGTGCGCTCTGACATGCGACTGTTGTTGCTGGCGCTGCTGGGCAAGGCTATGGCGTGTTGCCGTTCCCCCCGTCCCAACCGCCTCGCCTTCCTCTCCACCTTTTCCCGACTCACTTCCATCTCTGCCGCACCCAACACCTCGCTATCCGCCCGCGTCCTTCAGGCAGTGCTGGCGAGCGGCGAGGTGGTGAAGACAGCGGCGCGCACACGCAAGAGCGCGGCGGGGTACGACTTGACGCGGCTGCTGATCGGGTCAGAGGGTACGCTGGGCGTGATCACCGAGGTCACCGTGCGCCTGCACCGCATCCCCACGCTCTCCGCCGTCGCCATGTGCCCCTTCCCCTCCATCCGGGCCGCCGCTGACGCCGCCATCGCCACCGTGCACAGCGGGGTCGAGGTGAGAGGGAGGAGGATGAGATGAAGGAAAGGGAGGGGGGGGGAGGGGGGAAGGGGGAAGGGGGAAGGGGCCCAGGATGCAAAATGTCAGTTTTGAAGTGAGGCTTGGGGGGCTCGAATGCAGCTTCTTTCACATGCAGTTGACGCCCTTGTTGCAACCACCCTTTGTTTTCCTCCCCTGCTTGCTGCGCCTCCTCCCCGTGCCCCCAGGCGT